GGGCGAGTATCAGTCCAGTACTGGTTCGATCTCTGAACAACACGGTAGGGCTGTGCATACGTCACTAGGGGCTACACCACTACAGCCTTCGAGAGGCAAAGGAATAAGGGGACTTTTCGCTCAGCTCTTTGATGACAATGTAACATTTTGGTGGCCATAGAGCCATAGAGGTCCGACATTTCCTCACGAATACCACAAGCCCCGCACGGATATGCCACTGTTCAACTACCACTGAACACCTGTGCACAGATGTAAATATGAAGAAAATCATATCATATACACCTAAAATCGTTTACCTAATATTCTGAGAAAGCCAAAAAAAATTCCGTATTTTGAGAAACTCACATTCAACCTAAATTAGCACAATTTACCCCCAAAGATTACCCTATGACAGGGAAGGGAATAAAAGACGACATTATTTACATTAAAATGTCGTTCTGAGAAGGAATAAAGAGCAAAGCATTTCCTTCAATCCCTCTATTCTTGACGCTTGCTTTGGAGCAAATCTTTTGTTCCAGTTTTGGTTTCCATTGCTGTTAGGCAAATTACTTTTGTAAATTTTCACAGCTCTATTCTAATAAGACGTCCTAAGATCTTTTTTGGCAATGCAACCGTAAGCCAGCATTTGCGCTTTAGGAACCCAGAATAGTCAGATCGATCGATACGTAGGCATTTCATGAATGTTCCATTATTCAATTATTATTATTCATTATTCAATGCCAAGAAAAGTATGGACGCATTTTAATCTTATTACATGTGAACAATTAAATGAAGGCAAGTTTCAAGCGTTCCTTGTGGAGAATTCAAAATTATTTCAAGCAAGATCAATGGGCCTAGAAGGGGTATTCATCTCACTCAATTCATTTAGCATGCAACGTCGCTTGTCTTGAATCTTGAATCAATCATATCTCGTAATTCTCCTCCCTCTTCTGTCAATGTATTCCGCCTATTTAAAGACCGAACACAGCGACTATGAGTAAACATTTAATTGGTCAACAAAAAGCAAAAGAAAAGAGCTGACGAGCTGAAGTTAAACCGTAATGGACTACCGGTTACCAATCGATACAAAAATTGAGGCTGACTCACTCTAGCTGGCCGCATCGTAGCCGACCGTTTTGGGAAACAATTTGTCAGATGCACTTCCATGCATAGACACACTAAAAACCAAGGCATTGACTCAAGGGCTTCCTGAAGATCGATCAAATCATCATTAAGCTTGAGCGATGCTTAATCATGAAAAAGGGATTCCTCAACTGCCTCAACCCTAGTAAGTGGAGCAATCATCTAAATGAATTCCACCAGAGAATGAAGGTAATTTGCATGATTACGGGCAGTTTGTGATCGTTGCCAATCATGAAAATAGCACATCTGATGTAACAGCTAGACTTGATAGCATGTAATACATCAACAACATATGTTCATACATTTACATTAATCCATTTATCCGTATATGAGGTCTAATAATCGATTATATATGGGAATTAGGGGCATCATGAACTAGTAGTAGTAGTCGACTCCTTCGGTCTACTGGTCATATCATAATTGAGGGCCATCAACAATAACTCATTCTTCGTTCCATACTGAAAACAAAAAAAAGTTGTAAACAGAGTGAATATAAAAAGGAAACTTGGAATTTCATCAAACCCACTATTTCATTAACATCGAAACCACCATCCGTCAACTTCTCTTCACTTTTGCATTCAACTTTTACCTGAACTAAGTAAATCTCAAATAATAGTTGTAAACCTCAAATAACAGTTGGAATTCGTGTACCAAAAAATTTGTGGGAGGGCAAGGAGTGCGCTTAAAGGAGTGACTAAGATTTTTCAATGGGCGCTTTCACCAATATCAACAAAAAAGCCAGATTACATTCTTTTGCATTGATCAACCCCGCTCTGCTATCCGCCCAAGCTGTCAGCAATAAAAGCAACCAACAACCTTCTGAAATGTAACGGAACCTATATTCGTATATGGTTATATCAATTGGAGGGGTAGGGGGCAGCCAACTGACACTTTACCCTTCCAGAGAAGTCTGATACCAAATCGCCAATCAAGGGAGGGAAGGCTTCGACCTGGGCGGATATCGTTCCCTAATGAATCCAATAGCATACCCAGCAGTGCAACACAAAGGGCAGAAAAATAAATCCAATACTGGAACAAAATCAATATAAGAAAAAAAGCTCACCTCGCTTGTCTGCAAAGCTTTTCTCAGCAAATCGTTTTCTTGTTGCAATCGATCTACTTTCTCTTGCAGTTCCGAGGCTTCCACGGTTTGTGCTTGATTTAAATTCTGAATGAATAGCGGAACTTGTACGAATTCTGGTAAGAAAGTTGTAAAAAAATTCAAAAAAAAATTCAACAAAACCTCTCAAATCTCATACTCACATTTAACCTTATCGCCTGCTGCAACTGGGAGATCACCCAATATGAGTATTGTAGATTTCTAGTCAAATCCGACGCATATCCCTGAAAAAGTTATAAAGCATCTATAGACACAATGGTGAATTTCGCCAATAGTCTGTCATATGCTTCATTTCGGAAATGCTCGTGCAAGCATAAATTGATGTTTTTTCTGTATCCCAGCCGGCCGCAAATATAGAATGCACCAAGCTATTCTAGACCATTCATTCACGATGCAGGTGGAGTGATTAATGAGGTGTTGAGACCGAAATGGCGCCGGAAGGATTAGATCTGATATGCCGACTCACGAGTATCCTATTAATATTAATGGCCCAATAACTGATTCCATCACTCAGGATTAGTAGAGTTGTTAGGAGCAGAAAACCTCGATTAGCCAACTTTCGTTTGAGCGGGAAAACTAGTTGGCACGATTTGAGATAAATAAATTATGGATAGTTGACAGGAAAATTTCTACGTTCAGAACGAATCTGGCGTTCAAGCAGTCCTTCTCGAAAAAGAATCTTTCAAGCAAAGAAAATGTGACCGAACAAAATTGCACTTCAGATACAGCAATAAACAAGAACTTTAAAGAAAGAAAAAGAAAAAGTGGTCAAGAGAAACGCACTTTTAATTGGTGCAGCTCACGTTCTGCATTTTCACGTAAGGCTCGTTCCCTTTGCAACTGTACTTGCAGCGATTTCATATCTG